GGGCTATGGTCATCATCGGACCTCTTCCAGCATCTCGACAGAAATGATTCGTCTTGGTCATGACCGACTACTTCACCAAGTGGGTTGAAGCTGAGTCTTACGCCAAGATACACGCAATCGATGTTCAGAAATTCGTCTGGAAGTTCATCATCTACCGACACGACCTTCCATACAAAATCGTCACTGATAACGGCTCTCATTTCACCTCAGGAATGTTCGAGGACTTCTGCGCCTGTTGGAAAATCAGGCTAAGTAAATCCACTCCCAGATACCCGCAAGGTAACGGCCAAGCCGAGGCAACAAACAAAACCATCCTTGCCGGACTCAAAAAACGCCTCGATGATAAAAAGGAAGCTTGGGAAGACGAACTCGATGGCATCTTATGGTCACATCGAATTTCGCCACGCCGATCGACAAACAGGACACCTTTCTCCCTATCGCACGGCATGGAGGCCATGTCTCTTGCAGAGGTCACCATTTTCGGAATCCGACACACGATGATTGCACAAGACGTCGAGCTGAACGATCAGATGATGAAGGACCAACTTGACCTCCTGGAAGGCGAACGCGACCAAGCGCTGTTAAGAATTCAAAATTACCAACAACTCGTGGCTCGCTACTACAACAAAAAAAGTTCGAGGAAGGCATTTCGAGAAAGGAGACATCGTGCTGCGGAAAGTCTTCGAGAACACGCGCGAACCGAACGCAGGCAAGCTCGGCGCCGGCTGGGAAGGACCATACCTCATATCCAAGGTCGTCAATCTGGATGTATTTGAGTTAACAACAATGGCAGGAGAGGCGGTACCGCGTTCCTGGAACATAGGGAACCTCAAGCTTTACTACTACTAAGGAAGATGTCGCTCAAGAAATAAGCCATTCTGTAATGTGAACTACGGTCGTCTTGATCCCTGCAAGGGTACGTAGACAGCCTTCCTCGGAGGGTCCAGCTATATCAAAAATAATAATATAAAAAAATGAAAAGGAAGAATGATGAAGAACGCCGCCTCCACAGCCCAACGACCCAAGTACGCCGCCTCCACCGCCTGATGCCGAAGCGCCGCCTCTACAACTTGACAACCCAAGTGCGCCGCCTCCACGGCAAGACCGACGGACGAGCACGCTGCCCTTCTACTTCAGCAACCTATATATAAAACATGTCTATACGCTCCCCAAGCTACTTATGTAATGCGAACTACGATCGGCTTGATCCCCATATAGGGGTACGTAAGCAACCTTTTCAAAGGTCCAGCTATTACTTAATGAAATCTCTTATTAAGACGTCAATCTGTTCTCCACTCTCGATGCAACCCGACTGCCCGAAACACATTGACACCCTGGCCATGTAATCAATTAAAAAAAAAAATATTCCAGGGATGCAATGGTGAAATAATCCACGCCTTTGATACTAAATTTTTAGTTCATCGGCACGTAAGCCGGGTGATATATCATGATTTTTATGGTTTTTAACCATGATATAAGTCCTTTTTATTGAGTCTTTTTGGTCTTTTTAGAGTCCTAGAAGAGTCTTTACAGGTTATAACATGTCTGGAGCATAATTGAAGATATTGGAGCTTTTTGGATCATTGCAAGTTGAAGCAACGAAGTGCCTAGCTCGGAAAAGAAAGTATGCCATATGGTGACGCTCGTCACCACTCTTGGTGACGCTCATCACCCACCAAGGAAGGACTGTGGCTTGTTTGTTAAAAGATGGAGCACTATTTACAGAATTGGCCCAGAAGATCCATTATTTTCAAGAAAGCCCCAGATCGTGTTTAGCCTCTATTTATTAGGTTTTTCATCTATTGTTGGCTATTATCTTAGATTTTAGAATTCATAGAGCTAGAGAGAGAATTACTCAAAGCTTTTTAGGAAGACAAATCCTGTACTCTTTCTCTTAATGCAATTTTATTCAGTTATGTTTTGTGATTCCATGATCATGTCTGAGTAATCTGCTAGTTAAGTTAGGGATTTTTCAAAGGTTGATGAAGAGTTTGTAGAATTGCTACCTGTTAGGAATATCTTTTGGTTTTTCATCTCTGCTTGCTTTAAAATCAAATTTCTTAGACACATCATCTAGAAATCCAAAAATCATAGGTTGTTAAATATATGTGAGAGCATTACTGATAACCTGAACTAGTATTTAATGAGCAAAAAGACTTAGTGCAAAGAGATTTGGCTTAGGAGTTTTTTGAACAATTGAATCTGATCATATTGTATGTTTAGGTTGTTAAGGTTTGCAAAGAGATTTGAAACTCTGTGATTTAAACATATTTAACTTCTGCAATGAGAATTGATTAGTTATATATTTGATATTCATGTTCAAAACGGTTCTTAATCATTCCTGATTTCATGCATTCTACATTCTCGGATTCAACTTGCGAACTATCCTGACTTAGCGCTTTTAGTCTTCTGAAACTTAGAAAATAACTTGAATTTCGTTTTCTTACTTTTATTTATTCATTCGCATTACATACATTACATTCTGCTTAGCTTAATCTGAACCTACATTCGATAGTGTAGTTTGCATTACTCACTTGGGATTCGATACCCATTGTACTACAACTAATTTTGCTATGCACTTGCAGTAGTTTTATTTGGGTAAAACCTGAGCCCTATCAAGTTTTTGGCGCTGTTGTCGGGGAGTAGTAGCTGCCTATCGATTTTTAGTTTTAGGATTTTGTCTAAGCTTTAATTTGTTTACTAACTTTCAGTTCCTTTTCTTTGTTTTGGTTTCAGGTGTATGCCTAATCGCAGTACCAGAAGCAACAAAGAGAAGGAGCTTGTGACTTTGAGCATCGACGAACTCACTAGGTTGGAGAGAACTAATAGAAAAGCTAAGAAGCAATCTACAATGGTCGCTCCACTTATCTTGGTTGAAGATGCAGAATGTCACTTGGCTGACAGAGAAGGAAACAGGAGGAACGAAGAGGGGCAGAGGATTGATCAAGAGGGGAATGCCATTGTTGAACAGCAGGTTCAACAAGTGGCAGAAGACGCTGGAGTCCCTATTACGGCCAATAACGCTGCTGGGCGTTTTGTTCAGAGGACTCTAGGTGACTACAACATACCTGATCAGTTCAATGCCAACAGTGCTGCAATCCGCCCTCCTGCCTTCCAGAGGAACGATTTTGAGGTTAAACCTGTCTACTATCAGCTGGTTGGCCAGCATCCATTCCATGGCTTACCTCATGAGCATCCCATGGATCACATTGAGAGGTTTGAGGATTTGGCCTCAAGTGTCAAAGCTAATGGTGTTAGCAATGACTTTCTGTTCTACAAGCTTTTCCCTTACTCTCTTGAAGGAGAAGATACATATTGGCTGAAGCAACCGGAACCTGCTTCATTGACCACTTGGGAAGACACTAAGAATGCCTTTTTGAAAAACTTCTATGATGATGCAAGATCAGAAGATATGAGGACGAAAATTGCATCCTTTACACAAGGTCCTACTGAAGCTTTTAAGGCTTCTTGGATCAGATTCAAGTCTTATCAAAGGGATTGTCCTCACCATGGCTTCAGCCAGGTGCAACTACTTGGGATCTTCTTCAGAGGCATTGACTGGAAATATCAGATGGCGCTGGATGCAGCAAGTGCAGGAAACTTCAACACCAACAGACCAGAGGAGGTGATCAGGTTGATTGAGAAATTGGTCTGCATCAACAGCACTAAAAATGCAGATTTTTAGAGGATGAAACAAGCTGGTGTGGATGATGGAAATCAGATTACCAAAGTTAAGGCTAAGATGGATACTATGCACAGCCTTTTGGTGGGAAATAAGTCAGTTTACTTTGCTGCAGAAGTGGAGACTTTCGAAGGTTCAGATGAGGTTGTGCAGGAAGATGTAAATATCATCAATTCTGGCGGTTTTCAGGGTCAAAGGTGTGGAAATCAGCACTGGAACAGAGGCTACAACAACAACAATGAGAAGAGTAACTTTACAGGAGGACAGAGCACGCCTGGTTTCACTCCTAAACCCCTATTCCAGAAGACAAAGTACCAGAAACCATTCCAGAACAGTGGAAATTACAACAGAAACTATGATTCTTCTTCCTATCAACCTGCACCTCCACAAGGGAACAAGATGAAAGCAATGCTGGAACAGATCTTGGAAGGACAACAGAAGCTTACAGTGGACTTCAATGGCAAGATAGATTCGCTATATTAGGACTTGAATGGGAAAATTGAGAGTCTGAACTCTCATATGAAGAAACTTGATGTTCAAGTTGTCCAAACTGTAGGAGCTGTTCAGAGACAAGAAGGATTTCTTCCAGGAAGAACTGATGCTAATCCCAAACACCATGTGAATGCCATCACATTGAGGAGTGGAAAGAACCTGCAACCAGTATTGCAGAAGGATTTGAGCTCAAAGGATTTCGTGGGACTAGAAGAGTATGAAGATGAAGAAATCTCTGCTGCAGAACCACGGGTGACACTCGTCATCAATCCTGGGTGTCGCTCGTCACCCATTGAGCACAACCCCGATGATTTTCCTTCACAATTTGGCGACGAGCATTACCAGATGGGTGACGCTCGTCACCCAAATCGAGCAAATCCTCCCGACTCGTCCAAAACGAGTGACGATCGTCACCCACCTGGTGACGCTCGTCACCCGTTGCAACATACTACAGTTTCGTCTAAGACTTCAGATAATGCTAAGAAGACTGTATAAGCCCAATATACCCTATCCTAAGCATCATAAGAGGTCTATGTAGGAGCTTGAGGATGCTAAATGCAAGGCTATCATGGACAAGTTGGTTATTGAGATCTCATTGATTGATGCTGTGAGGATCACTCCTGTTATAAGGAGGTATGTGAAGAGAATGGTGACCAATAACTTGAGTTTAGAGGCTGGAACCATGATGATCAACGAGCAGGTCAGTAAAGTGATTCAGAACAGAGTGCCAGAGAAGCTTTCGGTGATCGAGGATAAAATTTACATGAAAGATTATGATAATAACTTTGTTTATGAGCCAAAAGAAAATAAATAGGAATTGGATGAGATGCTGAATTCTAGAAACTGGTGGGGTGCGTGTGTCGTCCACGATGTATTGTACTATTACAATACAAATTTGAACAAGTTAAGAGCGTATGATCCAAAGCAGAGATACTGGAGAGTGGTGAGAGGTGTAGAAGAATTGTTGAGTAAGACGGCCGGTTCATGGGGGTCGAGGACAGTGAGTTACAGTGGGAAATTAGCTCTGTTCTTTCATAAATATAATGCTTCGAAGCTGAAGGTAACAAACGATGTTTGGGTTGCCGAGATTGCTTTGGAAAGACGCCAAGGAGCAGAGATTTGGGGTAAGGTGCAATGGTGTGATGTTGTGTTTAATGATGGTGATGGGAGACTTTGTATCGTGGTAAAATGTTTATCTGTTAGTATTTGATGAAGAAACTTCTCATACGACAAATTAAACTCTTTTTCACCTTTAATCGGGTTTCTTTCCAATTTCCTCCTATAGATTTGAATTAAAATATTTTAATTTGAGTGCTTTGTTAATAGATTTTTTAGTGCATGAACTATTCATAAATGTAGTAACACACTGAGAGAAGAATGGAAATGAGATAAACAGTTAGTTACGGTAGGAAATTGGCTCTATATTCATAAACCTCACGATCTTCACGATATTCATAATGACAAAGATCCATTGACTTTCCCTCCAGCAATTCGACTGAACTTTTAACCATTTATTTTCAGTTCATTTATAAGATAGGGGCCGTGGTTACGTGGGTTTTATGAACTATTAACTAATATAAAAAGTCACACCTTCTTCCTCCACAAGTAACATAACAGATAACAGAAAAGAGAGATAAGAAAGACATTTTGAATCCTCCATCAAAAAAAAAAAAAAAATCGTAAAGAGTTCAAAAATAACATGGATCAAGGTTAGTGTTTCTTTCTTCTTCTAAAAAAAACTCTTAAGGTTTGATTAAATATTTGAACAAAAAAAAAGGGTTTGATTAAATCAAATCTACATTATTTTAAGAATATATTTCATGATAGAAATCATTAAAGTAATCTACAAACTCTTGCTTGTGTAACACATCTGGTGTTGGTAGACACAATAGAGCTTTGGTCTCAGAACTGAAGATTTGAATCGATTTATGATCAATTTTATCAGCTAGTATAAATCTTTCCTCGGAGAGATGCGAGTGTTTGTATATGAATATCTTGTCATTGAAGAGACCTTACCATTGTAAGGTATCTCTTATATTCTATCACACATAACGTAAAGGATTTAGTTCAACAGTGTATTGCAAATTTAAATTTCTCTAAATGGCATTGGTTTGACTTTGTCAAGATTCCAATTTCAACAAAAGAAAAAACCCATTTGTATATAAAAAAAAAAAGCATTGTTCATAGCTAAATGTTTTTTTCGTAACTCATGACCGTTTCACAATAGGCCCCAACGTCTACAAACTTCGCACCAAAATCTAAACATACTTTTTTGGCTTTCTACTGCCAAGTTCCCCTAAACAAGTAACCGGAACTGGACTTGGAACATACACATTATTGCAACGGTCTTCACACAATCTGTAGCTTACTGTCATCTCAACTTGTTTTTCGATCTTAACTTCTTCTCCTTGAAATCGTCTTCCTCGCAAAATAACATGATCTTGTTGGTCTTGTGGATGAAGTATTTCGGTGAAATGCTGCGATGACAACTGGATTGTGATATTGAGAGATCAGGAGTTACATTAAAATACTTGGTCCACGAGACGACTTCATCCGTCAACTTGCTTGTAACCCAAACCACCCAAACCTCCATCTTCAGATGCCTAACTTGATGTAATAAAGTAAGCCTATCTCTTCCTAAACCTGACAAGAGTACTCCTTTATTATAACTAGGATGACATTTAATTGCCTCTGGAACACAACATATGGGCTTGAATGTATCTGCGGAGCCTGGCCCGATTTTCTTAACCAGCAGTCGAGACAATACTTAACTCGGTTATATTGTAACTGTGTCTAGAAATTTTTTATCTTTTTCTTACTATTTCCTCTACGGGATACCAACCCATTATCAGATTAACAACTTAACTCAGATGTTCACAAACTAATAACCCAATGAACACTTAACTCACTAATCACAAAACTTTAATCTCATCTCAGATTAGTTCGTACCTTAGCCACTTGCAGATATCGGATGCATTGCTTAAGTTACTCTGGTCCGCATGATCCCATGAGTGCCCTTCACTATCCCGGCTCTCAGCCACCATGTCAGTAATAGCACATCACCTCCTTGTTACTCAGTCACTCAACCAACCATCCCCACATGACCAAGGAACGAAGAGAGATATCTCGGTTCGCCAAATCATCATGGAATCCCATTTCCGGTCCTTATGACCACCAGTAAGCACAGTCGCGATCCCCCCTGATCGCCAGTACACAGTCATGATCAGTACGACCATCAAAAAACATAATCACGATTCTTATGATAGCCAGTAACACAGACATGATCCTTACGACCATCAGAAACCATAGTCACGATCCTCCTAGTCGCCAGTAACCTTGTAATACATCACCCCTCTGTTACTCAGTCACTCACCAACCATCCCCTCATGACTAAGTAACGAAGAGGGACGGCTCAGATCCTTTATCCCTTGCCCGTCCGGTCCAGTCTACAATCTCCCAGTCCATGTCCAAAATCTCTCGATGGACTCTTACGGCTGACCATTCATCCAGAACATCTTCTCGGCAGAACGATCCCTCTTGATAGAATTCTCAGAATATCAATTTTCTCTCGGTGAAAGATCGATCAGAACACGTTTCTCTCGGTGACAGTCCATATCTCTCGGCAATCTCTCGGTGACAGTCCATATATCTTGGTGACAGTCCAGATCTATTGGCGATCTCTCGGGTGACAGTCCAGATCTCTCGGCGGTCTCTCAGTGACAGTCCAGATCTCTCTACAATTTCTCGGTGACAGTTTAGATCTCTCGGTGATATCTCGGTGACACTCCAAATCTCTCGACGATCTCTCGGTGACAGTCCAGAACTCTCAGATGAATCGAAGTACTCTCGGATATCTCACGATCCATGCAGAACTCCATGGATAAACTTGGTTATTCCCTCGGAAAACCACCAATTCAGAGCGAATGGTCGGATCAGATTGTCAGAAACTTGGAAAGAACACTCGATCTCTTGGCGACAGTCAGAAACGCACGGCGAACCTTCAATCTCTTTCGACTAACTCTCGGGATACTCAGATTCTCCCCGGTAATCCCTCGACCAATCTCTCTCTCGCTCTATTTCTCCCAAATAGTGCGGCTCCCCCTAGAAAAATCCCTCCATGACTCTTTTTTATACTCGAAACCCTAAGTAACCCGGCCTAAACCGCCCATTCCTCAGTTACAGTGATATATCATGGTTATTATGGTTTTTAACCATGATATAAGTCCTTTTTATTGAGTTTTTTTGGTCTTTTTAGAGTCCTAGTAGAGTCTTTGCAGGTTAAAGCATGTCTGGAGCATAATTGGAGATATTGGAGCCTTTTGGAGCATTTCGAGTTGAAGCCACGAAGTACCTAGCTCGGAGAAGAAAGTATGCCATACGGTGACGATCATCACCACTCTTGGTGACGCTCGTCACCTACCAAGGAAGGAGGTCGTGGCTGTTTATTAAAAGATGGAGCATTATTTGCAGAATTGGCCCAGAAGTTTTATTATTTACAAGAAAGCCCCAGATCGTATTTAGCCTCTATTTATTAGCTTTTTCAGCCATTGTTGGCTTTTTGATCTTAGTTTTTGAGAATTCAGAGAGTTAGAGAGAGATTTATTCATAGCTTTTTGGGAAGACAGATCTTGTACTCTTTTGAGAAGATTTCGAACCCCCTTATTCTTTTACTCTTTCTCTTAATGCAATTTTATTCAGTTATGTTTTGTGATTCCATGATCATGTATGAGTAATCTGCTAGTTAAGTTAGAGCTTTTTCAAAGGTTGATGAAAAGTTTGTAGAATTGCTACCTGTTAGGAATATCTTTTGGTTTTTCATCTCTGCTTGCTTTAAAATCGAATTTCATAGACACATCATCTAGAAATCCGAAAATCATAGGTTGTTAAATATATGTGAGAGAATTATTGATAATCTGAACTAGTATTTGATGAGCAAAACAACTTAGTGCAAAGAGATTTGGCTTAGGAGTTTTGTGAACAATTGAATCTGATCATATTGCATGTTTAGGTTGTTAGGGTTTGCAAAGAGATTTGAAACTCTGTGATTTAAACATAATTAATTTCTGCAATGAGAATTGATTAGTTATATATTTTATATTCATGTTCAAAACAGTTTTTAATCATTCCTGATTTCATGCATTCTACATTCTCGGATTTAACCTGCGAACTGTCCGGACTTAGCGCTTTTAGTCTTCTGAAACTTAGATCAAACAACAAATTCGCTTGCTTACTTTTATTTTATCATTCGCATTACATACATTACATTCTGCATAGCTTAATCTGAACCTACATTCGATAGTGTAGTCCGCATTACTTCTTTGGGATTCGACACCCTTTGTACTACAACTGCTTTGTTGTGCACTTGCAGTAGTTTTATTTGGGTAAAACCTGAGCCCTAACAAGTTTTTGGCACCGTTACCGGGGAGTAATAGCTGCCTATCGATTTTTAGTTTTAGGATTTTGTCTAAGTTTTAATTTGTTTACTGACTTTTAGTTTCTTTTCTTTGTGCTGGTTTCAGGTGTATGCCTAATCACAATACCAGAAGCAACAAGGAGAAGGAGCTTGTGACTTTGAGCATCGACGAACTCGCTAGGTTGGAGAGAACTAACAGGAAAGCTAAGAAGCTATCTACAATGGTCGCTCCACTTATCTTGGTTGAAGATGCAGAAGGTCACTTGGTTGACAGAGAAGGAAACAGGAGGAACGAAGAGGGGCAGAGGATTGATCAAGATGGGAATGTTATTTTTGTACAGCAGGTTCAACAAGTGGATGAGAACGTTGGAGTCGTTGTTGCTGCCAATAACGCTGCTGGACGTTTTGTTCAGAGGACTTTAGGTGACTACAACAGACCTGATCAGTTCTATGCCAACAGAGCTACAATCCGCCCTCCTGCCTTCCAGAGGAACGATTTTGAGGTTAAGCCTGTCTACTATCAGCTGGTTAGCCAGCATCCATTCCATGACTTACCTCATGAGAATCCTATGGATCACATTGAGAGGTTTGAGGATTTGGCTTGAAGTGTCAAAGCTAATGGTGTTAGCAATAACTTTCTATTCTGCAAGCTTTTCTCTTACTCTCTTGAAGGAGAAGCTGCATATTGGCTGAAGCAACTGGAACCTGCTTCATTGATCACTTGGGAAGACACTAAGAATGTTTTTCTGAATAATTATTATGATGATGCATGATCTGAAGACATTAGGACGAAAATT